GATTTGTCACGTACACAAAACGCCAATTAGTTACTACTTCAGCCCGCCGGTGTGTTGGAGAGTAAGTCCACAACGTTAACAATTTGAGTAGTACGACGTTTCGCTGGTAATTGCATCCAGCATCATCGGGCGATTTGCCAGAATATGAAGCCCTCCACCTGCTTCCGGTCTTAAATAGAGCAGCAGCAGGATGACGTCATCACTGAACCCAATACTTGCGCGATCGAACCCAAAAACCTTGAATAACACTGGTCAACAAAAAAAAAATTCTGGCCTGGACTTTTGCAGCTGTTTTAGACTAATTTCAGGGTGCTGATTCCAAATCTGATCTCAGATTTGCTCTATCACATCTCATTTTTATGCTATCGGCATACCCCATTTTCATTGATTTTACCCGAAATTAACTCTGTCACTTATGATTGCAAGTTGTTGCGAGTCAGTGACTGCTTTAGTGTTAAAATATGGTGCTGTATTTTTAGGATAGTGTGTTTATAATATCATTTTATGTAGATATCCACATTTATTTAATATTTTTCTTCTGCAGTTTTTATTTAAAATGCAATATTTGACATCTCAAAAACCTAATGTAATAGACAAAAACTGATGCCAGATTTGGAATCAGCACCCCCAAATTACATTAAAACCGTTGGAATACCTTATGCCAGAAAAAGTGTGTTGACCAGTGTAATACTGTATTTGTCGCGAAAGTGTACGTGTTAGACTATACAGCAGGTGTCGGGATCGAACCCACGACCTCCTTCATACCGGGCGAGGCAGACAACACCTTGCTGTGCCTCATACTTGGACATCTGTGAGAAAAAAAATTCGGAGCTCATCGGATTCCTCCTCCTGCTGCTGCTGCTGCAGTCTAAATAAAGATTCTCATTCTGTCAGTGAGGCCATCTCCAACCAGGCCCAGAACACGAAACTGCATCTGCGGTGAAGAGCCGCTGCTGATGCTTCCTCGTTCATCGGCTCCAGCGTTGTCCGCCAGAGGAGGCACGCACAGCTGATGATGCTGCTGCTGATGATGATGATTTAAGCACCGATCATAGGCGGAGTGTGACTTCTGTATTTGGGGGAGGCGCGTGGGGTTCGCTGTGTGCCTCAAATTAGGAATCGCGGGTGCATACCATTATTTAATTATTTAAATTTATGGTAAGCTACTGAAAATAAATTAATAAAGGTGTCCAGTTTGAGAGGGGCATTGCCCCCCCCCGCGCAAACTCTGCCCATGGCACTGATACTGGCTGTGCACGTGGGGGAGTGGGGGGGGGGGGGCACACGTGGGGGGGGGACACACGTGGGGGAGTGGGGGGGGCACACGTGGGGGAGAGGGGGGGGGCACACGTGGGGGAGTGGGGGGGGCACACGTGGGGGAGTGGGGGGGGGCACACGTGGGGGAGTGGGGGGGGCACACGTGGGGGAGTGGGGGGGGCACACGTGGGGGAGTGGGGGGGGGCACACGTGGGGGAGTGGGGGAGTGGGGGGGGGCACACGTGGGGGAGTGGGGGAGTGGGGGGGGGGGCACACGCGGCTGCCATCGAGCCGACTGAGCCGGCCGAAACGACGGAACAAAAAAAGCACCATCGATTGAGCGCTTTGAGAATCAACAAAACCGACAACGGGTTCCGCCAACAGCCCACAGCGGCACGTGCGGCAGAGTGTGGCTCGCCCACGTGGTTCTTCTCCCCCCCCTCCCCGCGACCTCCGATGACGACGGTCGGACGGGTGGCCACGTAGGGTGCGAAAGAAGTTCAACGCACGTACTTACTGTGTACAGGAGAACAAACAACAACAACAACAAAAGAAAGCGTTCGGTGCCGCGCGATATCTCTCACGCACGCGGCGTTCCGTGAGGATGCACGTCGGGACCCCCTAGTGGTCTCGCGACGCCGTCGCTATGAATTGGGGACGGAGGGGAGCCGGTGCACTGCAGGCGTCCGATAAGGATGGCGAGCAGGGCCCCCTGGGCGTCCGGGAGGCATTTTACCCAATTGCGGTTTAACCTCGCAGCCGACCGCTCTACGCCCGTGATAGGAATCCCGAGTGGATCGACAATGTGGGTGGGGGGGGGGGGGGGGAGCTGGGGGGGAGCTGGGAGAGAGCTGGGGGAGGGAGCTGGGGGGGGGGGAGCTGGGGGGGAGCTGGGAGAAAGCTGGGGGAGGGAGCTGGGGGGGGGGAGCTGGGGGGGGAGCTGGGAGAGAGCTGGGGAGGAGCTGGGAGAGAGCTGGGGGGGGGAGCTGGGGGGGAGCTGGGGGGGGGGGACCTGGGAGGGGGGGGAGCTGGGGGGGGGGGAGCTGGGGGGGAGCTGGGAGGGGAGCTGGGGAGTGGGCAGGGGGGAGGGGGAGCTGGGGGGGGAGCTGGGGGGGGGGGTGAGCTGGGGGGGGGGGGAGCTTGGGGTGGCATCATCGTCTAGGCGAGGAGGAGCTGCAGCAGCAGTCCTCCAAGGCGCCGCGACCTTTTTGTTGCGAGGTTGGCAGAGGGTTCTCGTAATGGATAAAAAAAACACATTACATAAATGTTATATATATAAATAGTATTGGTCCAGATACATTGAAATGAAATTATACTTAAGTGATTTTAGAACTGGGTTGACATCTTATTCGATTGGTTGTGGCTGTGATGATATGACACTTATGTGTAACAAGCCGAGGGGGGGGGGGGGGGGGTCAGGTGATTCCCACTTCCCGGATCTCGCCTTGAAGGTGCCCGACGCAGTATCGAACGAAGTCGCGACATTTCGGCGGTGAGAATCGCACTTCGACTTCGCGGCGAGCCCAAAGAATGACAAATTTGTACTTTTTCGGACGTCTATGGGACCCGATGTTTTTTGCCGGTATCGAGATAATGAATAGCTCAAGCCGAGCTATGAGATGCCTTCATATTTGCTGCATTGCCCTTGTTATGTTCGCCTTGCGGCGTCGTTCCCTGGTCGAACACCGGCGTGGCGAGGCAAGGCTCTCACAGGAGGCTGTAGCTCTGGTGTAGGTCAATCCGTGTCAAGGACAATGCGTGCATTATCGTCACGTGCATTATCGTCACGAGCATTATTTGTTTGCACGTTTTACCAGAGGCACGTGTGGTCAATGCAGACGCGATGCCTTGCAATAGACGTCTATTTGGTGAGTCATTTTTGAACACGGGGGCTTTCGCGACCAATGTTATCCATAATAGAGGGTTTTTTTCTCTAGATTTGAAGCTTTCATGACTGCAAGGATTCATACTCTTTGGTTTTTTCGGTAAAGTTACGTAGGTAAAAAAATACAATAAAATAAATGAAAACAACTAAATTTGTTTTGTTGGGTTATATCGCGTGAATATCAACGTGTCGTTAAACCCGCCACCGCCCGACACAGCCAATTAGTAAGGGTTTGTCACGTAAACAACGTGTGCCAATTCGTTACTAGTTCATCACGTGTATCCCTCTATTTCAGACCGAAACAGGAGGATTTCCCGACAACTCTGGCTGTTGCCTGGCGATGCTGGTTGTCGTACTCGAATTGTAAATGTTGTGGGTTTACTCTCCAACACACCGGCGTGCCGTACCAGTAACCAAATGGCAAGTTTTGCTCACGTGACAAAAGCCTTACCAGTTGGCTGTGTCGGGTGGTGGTGGGTTTAACGACACATATTTAAGCGATATAACCCAAGGAAAGCTCCCTCTGTTATACTCTTAGGGTTTTTCGGTAAAGTCACGTAGGTAAAAAATAAAATTAATAGAAAAAAAAAATAATTATTATTTTATTATTTTATTTTGTTTCTATTAATTTTATAAAATTATTAGAAATAAAATAAAATATTATTTTATTATACTCTTAGGTTTTTTCGGTAAAGTCACGTAGGTAAAAAATAAAATTAATAGAAACAAAATAAAATAATATTTTTTTTCTATTAATTTTATAAATTAATAGAAAAAAACGAAATAATTATTTTATTATTTTATTTTGCTTCTATTAATTTAATTTTTTATCTACGTGACTTTACCGAAAAAAACCTAAGAGTATGAATCCTTGCAGTCACGAAAGCTTCAAATCTAGAACTCCCTCTGTTATGTCTATTTGGTGTTTGAACATCTAAACTGTTTCGGATGGACGGCCAAGGGTCTCGCGACAAGAATCGGGCCAGGTCGTCGTCTTCGTGGCTTAACCCAACAGTGGACGACGGAACAGGCACAGTCGACGAGAGAAGCTGCTGTGAGCTCGTGTCGCCGTGAGACAAATATCTACACGGGGGTGAGGGGGGGGGTGAGGGGGGGGGTGCGGGGGGGGGAGACTTTTCAAAAGTACAGAAAATGGCGATTAGTCCCCTACGAACTTTGCTTTTGTGACCAGGACTTTAAGTGAACTAATTACACAAATGCACACCACGTTTTCACATTGAAAATAGGAACATTTCAAAATCTCACTGTGCTGGTTACAAAAGCAAAGTTTAATAGCCATTTTCTGTACTTTTTAGGCATCAGCAATTAGGAAATACCACTTAATACCCATGAAAAAAAAAAATATATATATTTTTTACACAGTGTTATTCATGGAGTGGATTATTAACTTGGCTTTTGTGTCCTGGTCACAAAAGCCAAGTTTGTGGGGAATAATCGCAATTTTCTGTACTTTTTAGGCATAAGCAATTCGAAAATAACACTTACATCCCAGGAACAATTTTTTTTTGTTACACGGTGTTAACGATGATTTATCGCTGGTGCTGTGCTTCATGGTGATTCTCAGAAGTCTCAGGATTTATTGCCTCAGCTTATGAAGACAAAAAAAAGACGCCCTCGCAACTCTCTCTCTCAAGTCCTCATGTCTCGAGCTCCTTCCATCCCATCCAATGCCACTCCCCTTTTGCTCAGAGCACCGCGAGGCAGACCTGGGGCCAGGATGGTTGAGATCGTTTCTCCATTGCATTCGCCAACTTCGGTTTTGCCAGCGTATTTCACCGTTGCCACGATGACGACGGTACCTCACGCGCCCTCTCGCCCCCGCCCCCCCCCCCCGCAGGATTCTCGCGTTCATCCTCACGACGCCCGTGCTGCTCATGGCAACGGCGCGACCGCAGTCAGGGGGCCGAGCCGGCGTCAGCCCCGCGGGCCGCTCGTCCCCGTGGCCGGCGGCGGTGGCGGCGGCGGGAGAGGCGGCGGGAGAGGCGGCGATGGAGGCCGGCCTCCCGCACGCCGCCGCCGCCGCGCCAGGCCCTGCGGCCGGGGCCCACGGCTGGCGGCCTCGGGCCGGCCGTGTGCGCCCTCGACTTCCCCAAGCCGGCGTGGTGGTGGGCCGAGGTGTGGCGCTGGGCCACGCTGGGCGTGGGCTGCGCCATCCCGCTGGCGACGCTGCTCGGCTGCTACGCGGCGTCGGCGCTGCGCACGTGCGCCTCGCTGCGGCCGTGCGCGCTCGCCCACCGCGGCGGGGCCCAGCGACGGCGCCGACGCCGCCCGCGCGTCTGGTGCCGCGCCACGCGCTTCGTGCTCTCCGTGCTGGGGGTCTACCTCGCCTGCTGGGCGCCCACCTTCGGGATGCTCCTCGCGGGGCTCGCGGAGACGTCGCGGCGCGGCGGCGGCGGCGGCGCCGGCGCTCCGGGCGGCATCCCCGAGGCGCCGTTCCTCGAGGGGCCGGGGTCCTTCGGCGGCGGCGGCGGCGGTTCTGGGCCGTCGTCGTCGTGGCGCTGCGTCGCCCTCCTCGCGGCCGCGGCCAACGGCTGCATCAACCCGCTGCTCTACGCCTGCTACGACCGGCGATTCCGCCAGGATATCGGGCGCGCGTTGGCCGCGTGCCGCTGGCGGGGGGCCGCGTCCCGCAAGCGTCTCGCCGCGGAGCCGGGCGAGGAGAACCCGGCGCGCGGCGGGGACGAGACCGCGGCATGCGGCAACCGCCGCTGACGAGGCGGTCGAGGTGGGCGAGGCGGCGCGTCTCGGGGAGACGGAACGATGGAGCCAGGCGAGCGAGTCGCGCCGGTCAGGACGCCTTGAGGTCGTGGCGTAAGCGCAGTGGAGAATGAAGATGTGGAGGATGAAGGGGGGCCTATCGGAGGAGGAGGGGGGAGGAGGAGGGAGATAAAGATGAGGCGGAGAAGCGAGCAGCTCCGTGGGTGAGCATTGATCGCAGGGTGCACCCGGTTTATCTGAGCGAAGCGCACTTTGTAATTGCTGTGAAAAACAGCAACAGCGTTTATCTCAAACAGAGACCGACATTAACATTCCAGTGTTGTCAGGCAAAAGGGAAGATGTAAAAAAAGCTTTGTATTTTTATACACTTTATTTTTTCTTGCGATACAAAGCATCCCAATATTTGTGTCACGTAAATGAGCCAAACAGGCACTTGGGCATCGCGGCACAAAATCAAGGATAGCCATTCACCAACAATTTCGCTAACGGCTCTTGATGAGTACTGATGAAGACCAATTTCCCAAAACATTGACAGTTTATTTATTCTTTCCTCCCCGTGCGTTAATCTCTGGGGGTGACCAGGTCCGGAGGGCACTCCGTGATGAGATCACAGAGCAGAGGCATTGACAGGGAGCGGAAGAGTCGTTTTTGCGCGAGTCACGGCGTGAGCTCTCGGTGCCTGCGCGCGAGCCTGGCCTTGACCCCGGCTCTGACCGATGAAGCCGAAGTTGGAGTCGGCATCTCGCTGGGAAATCCAGACCCTGGGTAGCTCAGTGTCACCTGTCACAGCGCGACACATCAAGCCAAAGCCGGCAAAGCCGTGCACCCCCCCTCCAAATCCCACTCCCCCCGCCCCCCTCCCACGGCACAGCAGCAGCGATTATATATCACGCACAATCCGGGAGAATTTGTGCCCCCCAATGAACAATCCCCCCCCCTCTCTCGCCCCCCATCGCCCTGCGACACACCCGCCCACTCCAATTTCAAGGCAGCTTCATGGGGCAAACTGGGGAGGCAGTCACGGTCAAAATTAAAGGTTCTCTGTGGCCAACGCCGTTGATGCCACGCCACCTTGGCCTTGGCTTCCTCGCACAGTCCACGGCTCGCCTCCGAGGTCTGTCAGATCGTGCGGCCTCGTCCACACGTGTGGAGTTTCACGTTGAGGTCGTGGGTGTAATTATCTCCAGTGCACGCTCCCACGCGAAGTGGTCTCCACGCTTCGTGTCCTGCCCTTGCTCACTTTGTGATGGGATTTTTCCCCAATGCCGCAACGGCGGCGTCCTCATTAAAGACAGCCAGAGGCATGGCCGTGCAGGCACTCTGCGTGCACGCGGGGTATACCAGGAGCCGGGCGCCGTGATGTGCTGCGTATCTGCGGGGGGGGGGGGGGGGTTTAAAAAAAAACAAGTTAAATAGGCCATTCGTGACTGCAGGGATTCATCTGCTTGGTTCTTTCGGTAAAGTCACGTGGAAGGGAAATAATAAAATAATAAAAATAAAACATAATAAAATAATTCTCACGACGTTTCGGCCACAACGCAAGCAGCCGTCCTCAGGTGAAGAACAGGGCTGTCGGAAAGACAGGTCTGTCGGAAAGACAGCATCATTCAGAATTATTTTATTATGTTTTATTTTTATTATTTTATTATTTCCCTTCTACGTGACTTTACCGAAAGAACCAAGAAGATTAAATAGGCCGGTTGCTACTTTTCGGAGACCAATTTGTTAGCAGCAACATGACAGAGTGTTGTTCCTACCACGCGGTCACCTATTAGAATCTTCTTCTCGGTCCGGCAGCCCACGAACTTTACAATGCCATGAACGGTTCAGATAATCGTCACTGGTGTTTACCGTGAGCGGGAATCGAACCCGGGTAGCCAGGTTCGTAGCGCAGCGCGATGCCCACATTGTTCCTCCACGTATCCCCCCCCTACCCCACACCCACAACTGCTGATATGAGCATAGTTCATGATTACCCCCGTCATCATAAATTACTTTGCTTCCTTCGAGAATATTTTTCGTTATTTCAGGCCGAAATTGAAGCGTCATCTGACCAACCGGCGCTTTCGCCTTAACAAATGCCCCATGTCCCTATCGCGGACAGTCACAAACCTTCTGTCAACATCACGCTCGTGCAAGGTCGCCACCATCGTCCGTCGCGTGATACATCTACCGCCCTAGCACGAGCAGCAACAAAAACAAGACATTCCACGTGCCCACCAGTGCCGTGCTCCGTTCACGACACAACTTATTGTAAATGCCAAAACTGCGTGACCACGGGTTATGCAAATTGTTCAAAGTCTTTTACACTATGAGACCTTCTTTACCAGTGGCAAAATATAGCAGTAGGGTTTTACCCTTTAAACTGGTACAAAAACTGACACCTTTATACAAGGCATCATGTTTGCAATAACCACAACACAAGCAGTCAAAATATAAAAAAAAGAAACAACTTGTTTGCATTTTGACTGCTTGTGTTGTGGTTATTGCAAACATGATGCCTTGTATAAAGGTGTCAGTTTTTGTACCAGTTTAAAGGGTAAAAACCTAGTGCTGCTGTTCAAAGTCTCTCCACGGATTGAATCGACAGGGTATTGGACTCTGCCCATCTGCTGCACGCTGCCGATGATCGGAGCGCGTGCCCCGGGCTGTGTGTACTGCGATTTTAATGCCGTGGTGCACTGGGGGGTTGGATGGCGGGGAGGGGTCTAACTCTGTGCCAGCGCATTCGTCGAGATGTCAGAGGCCATGTGGCTGGCAGGACGCGTGTGCGCTGATGGCGTTCCCATCTGTGTCACGTAAAAGCATACGAGGCAATAGGGTTACGTTGTTATTTTTTAACGAAGCTATTTTCTTAACCAGGTAAAGCCCACTGAGCTATTAGCTCTTTTTTTTGTAAGCGACTTGGCCTCGCGTGGTGATAGCTCATTGAAGTGGTTCGTATCACAACGTGAACGTTGATAGTGGCGGACACATTAATGTAATCTAAACGCGCCTTGTTTCTAAATGTGGAGGGCAAAGACGGGAAGAACCCCACAGGACAATGCACACGCCCACGGGGAGAGATCGCACGCACTCGAAATATTTTATACAGGCATCGGTCAGTGTCAGGATCGAACCCTGGGCAGCGAATGCCAAGCCTCGGCAACTTCGGGCTTTTACGCTGCGGGTGGGTGGAAGAAGCAGTTGGCAACGGCGGAACGAATGGAAAGTGAAAGGGCGTCGTTTGAATGAATGGATATTTTCAGAAAAATACTAGCGAACAAAAAATAACTACTTCGATATGACCAAGCACAACGTTTTTTTAATGCCTTATAAAAAAAATGTGAAAACCGTGCCGCTTATAAAACGGGCACTTGCAGTTAGATTTTAATTGGCTCATATGCGTGAATTAAGTGGCTCCACCAGGATATTTCCAAGCATTGCCTCAAAGCACACAGGTGTACTGCAGAAAGAAATGAACTCCTGCCTAGAGGAACCTCCATCTGCTTACGAGCTTCCCCTCGTGGTTTTCATGTGAACATGCCTCTCCCCCCCCCCCCCCAGTTTTATTAAAATTATCTTTATTGACATCGTGCCATGAAGATAAAGTATCCAATTTCAACTCTCGCATGGCCGAGCATTCACCCGTTATTTAGACAATGGCTTGTCGAAGTAGCTATCGCGTAAGTACTTTTAACATCTCTTCACGCTCCGCACTTCCCTGCATGCCCTGCTTTCCAAATCTCGGTCGCGTGGCATTTATTTTATTTCTAATTCTCAGAGAAGATTTTTTTTCTTCCTCAAATTAAGCCAAAACAAAGATCAGATTTAATAGGAATGGGCGTTTTGTTTGTGCAATCTTTGATGATTAGGCGGAGACAATTCACTTGTGACACTGAACCGTTTTTAATCACGAGGAAGCTGCCCAGATTGCAGCAGTACCGCTTGAATGTACGTGTGTTTAATTAATTCTTTCGCGCAGTACGTCGGCAACCGTGCAAATCGGAGGCGCGGGGGAAGGACGACAACACTGAACGCAACGACAAGCAGTTGCATCATGGGACAAGCAGTTCTAGAGAAATACGTTGTCAATCCAGATTTTAAAGTGCATAGCTCCACCGGCTTCCTAATATCGGCAGAAAGAGCGTTCCAGACGGCCGCTTCAGGGTCTCTGACCCTCCGAGCCACCCGGCCGCCTATTTGACGTCACTTGCTCACGATAAAAAAGAAAATACCGCCGCTGACTCGGCCACGCATGGGGCCTTAATGAGTGGTCAGTGTGCGACCGCATGGTGAGAGTGGTGGGGGGGGGGGGGGGTCCATTGTTTTCTGTTAACTTATTTCCCTCGTCTGTGCACAAGTCTACGAATGGGTTAAGGTAAAGAAGTGAAACGGTAATAAATATCAGCAGCAACAAACAAGTGACAGCCCATAATTGGACGGTAACAGGCGAATTGACGACGGCAGAGAATCCCCGTTAAATAGACGCCGATAGTGGCCCGATTAACGATGCGGTCGGTGGGTGTGAATCTGCAGGCCACACTTACCTGGCCCAAAGCCAATGGAATGGAATTTAGTCCACAATAAAAAAGGAGGGGGGGGGAGCAATATCCCTCACGGCGGTGTGTGGGGAGCGGTGGTGCAGCGGTTAGCGCGCTGCGCTACGAACCCTGCGACCCGAGTTCGATTCGCACTCACGGCCACCAACACCGGTGACGATTATCTGAACCGGTCATGGGCCTCCCCTAGGTTGACTCAGCCTTAAATGAGTACCTGGTGTGGTGTGTAAACATCAGTACTGGGGAGACAAAGGCGGCCGGGCGTGATGCTGGCCACCCACCCTCCCTCGTGCGCCGTGCCGGCCTTCATAGGTGCTACGCGCTAACAGCACTTGTCCCAAAAGTGTGTTAAGGCTACACGGGGGATCTTTGTCTTTGTTCCCTCGCCGGTCCATTGCGTATGCGTGGAGGTACGCTCGCAGCGTACCCGGTATCGATTCAACGACAGCCTTT